TTCAGTTAATAATTTTATTTACTGATTCTTTGTGGAAGTTTCCTGTGAGCTGCCTGTGAGTGGTGATAAGTGAATGGGGCACACAGGGTGGGACGAGTGTGTACTGACAGTGCAGCCAGAGCAGCAACACACTGAGCCCTTTCAGCCCACAGACTCAGTCTGGTGGAAAAACTAGACCCATCACGCACCAGCAGACCACAAGGAATGTTTCTTCTTTTATTCATTCACTCAATTTTAGAGCCATCCTTGCCTCAGCAGCAGATGGATGTGTCACTGGCAGGGAAAGGTACACCACGCTCCCGTCAGAGTGTCCTGTCTTGCCATTCCCCTGTGGCTGATGGACTTGCTCTGTGCTGATCCCACTTGTCAGAGGCTACACTGTTAACACAGCTACCAAATTAATTTTGCTGAAAGCCACCTAACCTCCTCCTGCGAGCCCAAAGTGGCTCTGCCAAAACAGCTCCCTCGCTGCAGAGTGAAAAATGGAAAAATGGCAGCAAATGGCAAGTTCTGTTTGCACATCCACAGTGGAAGATTCCCTAAAACGTTTCATTGTTCTTCTGTGTAATCTGTGAAGAAATCCACGTCCTGGAAAAGCAGCCTGTAATTTGTAGCACATGAGTGTGCTTTGGGGAAAATCAATCAAATGCACTAAGACGTGTTCTCAACTCCTAAACTAATGATCCTTCCTGTGAGCAGCATGAAACACCGGGCGAGTCCCAGATGGCATAAATCCTCCAGGTTTCAGCAAAGCTGTGACAGTTTATACTACCTCAACAGTACCCTAATTGTGCTTAAAAACTTTTTAAGGTGGTGAGCAGCCCGTGTTTCAAAAGCCTCCTTCTTTCCAAGCAGTCCTGGAGCTAAACAAACAAGTTTACTAGTTAGTGAGAAGAGAATGCCATATTTAATTTATAATCTTTCAGAGCTGATGTGCTTAAAAATAAAAACTCTGAAAATCTAATTTTGTCTTAAGAAATGCCAAGCAGCTGTGTAGAGGCATTCATGGCTGGGACCTGAACCAACTTCTGGTAAGAGAGGAAATTAGGACCATTTTGTTACCCTGACAAAAATGAAATCTCTGAGAACAGTAATTCCTTTGCAGAAAAATCAATAGTTTCAGCATGTTTTTAACGTGGCAATTTGCTATGGAACATCTGAAACAATACCTCAGTAAATCACTAGTCCTGCATGAAATCAGCTGCTTGCTTTGAATGCAGAAGTGCATGAAAAATGTGTGGTCAAAGCAGAGGAAATCTCCCAGAATCACAACTTCCTCATCCCTTAAGTAATTGTGAATGATCTGAAAACAGGCACACGTAAGAAGCTTTGGTTCTTTGGTTTACATAGAGAAGTTACAAAAAGATCCAAGTCTTTAACCCTAATCTGAAAAGAACTTCTAGAATTCATTTTCCTCTATGCCTCAGATTACCTGTTTACAGAGCGAGGATATTATTAAACAGTGAGGGGAAATTATTAAGCAATTAATAGCTATAACATGATCTTCATAGTCCTATGTAAGCAATAAATATCATTATTTAACAGATTCTGTAAAGCAAAATACAAGGAAAAAGGCTATTTCTCTGTATTTGTTACACAGTGCTCTGATGACTGAGTAGCACAGACCATGGAACATTCATCTTGATGTGCATCATTTAGCAGTAGAAACATATACTTCACAGTGGTATTACTTATTTCAGTGACACAGAAAGGGCCAAAAAACTGCTTTCACAGACAATTCTAGTCAGTTCTTAAACATTATTAACTTTGTATTTAACCTTCTAAAAATGTAGAACAAGAAATCCAAATTACATAAGGAAAATGTTAGAAAAATTATCTCTGAAATGATTCCAAGTTTATCTCTGTATCAGTTTGTCAAGGGGTGGAATTTGCAAGCAAACATCAACAAAACAATACATTTGCTATCAGCTATGAGCAGTACCATATATGTGTCTGTATTTTACACTGCCTAATCCCTGCTCACTAATTAGAAATGTTGTGGCAGTTCTGAAAATGAGAAATGACACTCTCATTTGATATGTGCTCCAAAACACATCCACCAGAAGATCTGCAGCAAAGAAACATTTTCCAAAAGGAAATCAAATGATTCATGTTTTATTTCATTGTAAATTCTCTGTGATGGATGCTGGAATTAATTTGGGAGATGTTATGCTCAGCAGCTTATATTGGAATAGAAATTCTTTGTGAAAGAGTCTATTTAAAATCATGCCGATGACACATAAAACCTTAATATTGAATGAACACGGCAAAGAAGTTCTAGATAGTTAAATTCAGTCCTAAAAATTTAAGTTATCATCTTTTTTTACCGTTTTTTAAGCTTTTGAAAGCAAATGTGACTCACTAGGATGCTCTATGCTGTGCCAAGTTCCAAGTCCTCCAGCTGTGTCCTGCTAGTTACAGCTACATCTGTAAATGATTTTTCAGCCAAACTGCCAAATCAAAACTTTGGCAGTGTGAAAGTTATTAAAAAAAAATGCCTCTAGAAGGCCACTCTCCCTGGACATCACCTAGTGTTCAGCTACACAGCTGACATGGTATTTGAGTTAGCTAAGATAATTAGATATGAGTATGATATAGCTTGCTGAGACGCCTTGATGCAAGAGGCATCTCCTTTTTCCTTAATCCAAACTAAGGTTAGACATAGTGTGCTAAATATAAATTGCAGAGAATGCAGAGAATACAGGATGAAAGAGCTTTTCTCAGGAGCTGATCTCCACACTATGTGTATTTTGAGGGCTCCGTGTGAGAGCACTCCAGTCTAGTGCTGTGAACTGGATGCCTGTAGTGGTTGGGGTGCATTAAATCAATTAATTTTATCTAAAAAGGATCCAATTAGCACACTTGGAGACTGCTCCACAATGGGAGTCAAACCGCATTAGCCGGGCACCACTCAGAGACTTCCTTCGACAGGACATTCCTGATCCAAACCGAGATGCTGATGTGGAGGCACCCAAAGCCAACTCTTGGGAAACAATGTGCTCAATTTTCGTCAGCCTTTTGTATATATTTAGAGGTGAGAAGAGTGAATATGACAATGAGTTTGTGGTCAGCACAACGAGAGTTGTCAACACACATCAACTCATGTCAACACACGGGTTCTTGCTACCCTTGGCGTGTTATTAATGCAACAAACTGCTCTAATGTCTTTATTCTGGGCTTTTCTCTTATGTGGAAAAGACTTATGTGGACTGTGGAAAAGACCTTGCACAAACACTGCTCCCACAGGCCTGGCTCTGCTCAGGGAGGGGACACAGCCAAGAGGCACAGCAGGAAAGCTCACCCAGCCTGTCCTCTCCCATCTCCCTCTCAGTCTTTAGTTTGCTTCCAGCAGAGCTGGATTTAGGTCCTTAACCTGGCCAGCACTAGTGCTGCCAAATGCTAAACTCAGGGAGCAACTGGAGAAGTAAGGAGAGAATAAAGAAAGGAGACTGGGCTCTGAGCAACCTGGTCTGGTGGAAGGTGACCCTGCCCGTGGCAGGGGGTTGGAATGAGATGAGCTTTAAGGTCTCTTCCAATCCAAACCATCATATGGTTCTATGAAAAATAAAAAGCGGTAAGGAGGGAGCAACTGTGAGCAGATTTTGGTAGGGGGAAAAAAGGTTGGCTGCCCTTGTTCCCTGTGCCATGGGTGACTTCCACAGACAAAAATACCATGAGTGCAACTGCTGATGGAGTTACAGGGTTGGTGCTCCAGGAGACTGAACTGGGCTTGCATGGAGAGACCAGGACATTTCCCAACCTTGGGGTATCTGATCTTACAAAGTTTTGGTTTTCATAGGGTTGTTTGGTTTATGTGACTGAGCACTCCTTCACAAACGGATGTCAGCTTTCCAAATCCGCCGTGGGGAAATTCGGGCTTATGGGAAAATTTTCAGTTCAAACAAAATCACACAGTTCTCACAAAACTGTCCAGACCTTTCTGCAATTATGTTACATCATATATATAGTTTAAGCAACTCTGGATCATTTCACAGCTCAGCTTCTTATCTTTTTATAGTTCTGCTACCGTGGCTCCATTCTTTCCCATATGAAGAAACTTAATTAATATTTTATACCCCTACTAAATTGTGAATACAATTTACCATAACAGTACAGAAAAAGGCAAATACACTTTGTCCCCTGCCAACAGAAAATCCTTAACAGCTGTTTATTGCTCATTTGCAAAACATAAGAGCAATGGAATTCCATTACTTAGAGAAACTGGCTGTTCCATGATATCCTTGGCAACAAACACCACACTTATCTTTTTGAACAATAGACTCTCAAAGTTTCTCCAGCCTACAAAAATAAGACAGTGAGGAATACTTTTTCTTAACTGCAAAATGCTAAACAATGGGAACTGACTCACCGTCAGCTGCATTTTGTTTCATCAAAACTAACCTTTTTCTCACTCTGTCCCCCCAACAAAGAAATTTGCTCACTGCAAATTGTGAGAAACGTTTCATGCAACCATCTCTTTCACAGGAAGGACTTTTTATTGAGGTCAAGACTCTGGCAAAATGAGAAGAAATTCAGACTGCAATCTGAGTAATGTAAGAACTTACAAGCAACATTAAGGCAGTAACTTTAGGTTTATAATAAACCAGACAGAAATTGCGGGGCAGAATTTTTTCTGACTTTTCAAAACTTGGAAATACTTAGAAAAATAATACCGTGGTTCACACCACAGATATTTCACATATGGTTTTAACTAAATAACTTACAAGTTTCCAATAGCTTAAAAAAGAACTATCTATGGCATACCAGATAGATGCTAGCTCCTCAGAAAGTCAGGACACGCACATACCATCCATAATCTGGTTTCTATATTTAGGTAAGAACTATACCTAAAGCCATGGAGGTCAGCACTGCACCAAGTCAAGCATGTTTTAACAGACATATCTCCTAGACAGTGTTTACCACGGTACATTTCTCCCAAACCCACACCAAATATGCCATTTGAAGGCCTTGCACTATTAAAAGACAGTGTGTCCACATACCTCAATAATCCTGTCATGAATTTGCAGCCCTCCTTCCTTAGCAGCAGGCCCTGTGTCGACTATTTTCGATACAAAAATTCCTTCGCTCGATGAACCATCTTGATTGTCCTTTAAGGATGAAAAGAAAACCACATTATTACCCCAAACCAACTCTGATTTTCCCTCAGCTAAAGCTTGTCCGTGTCACAGCAGCGCCTGTAATTTGAAAGAAATGTTCTTATTGATGTCTTAATATGGAATTACTCTGTGCTAATGAGAACACCTGATACTCCTGTTTTGAAAGATTAAACAACCAGGGACGGACTTCCATTAGGTAAATTAGTTGTGTGATAATCATTTTCCCCTGACTTAGGCCAGCTCAGTAGTAATTGTCATTACAATTATTCTCAATGTAAAATCCAGTGAGACACAGCCTGTTTGCACATCAAACATAAGACAACACTGCATTTTTATTTTTAGTTGCATGGCTCCTTCTCTGGAGATTTAAAAATAAACCAAGAAAACAATTTATATCTAACAAGGTATTTTCATACTCCTGTGTATTGTGTCACTGTCTTCTACCAGCGCAGAACAATGTCTCAGAAAATGGAAAAACTCTAACTGTAAAGAATAACTTTCAAGTGAATTCACTAGGAATAAATCGTAATTAATGTCAGATTTCTGAGCAGTCAAGAAGTAGTTCTAAATACTTTCTAAATTACTAGGACAAGGTATAATCCACTCCTTGATGTAATTAAAGTCATATGCAGCAGCTCCAGCCAACAGGCATCCAGAAAAAATACATTAGTGAGTGTATGGTGCAGGAAACATCTGCTGAAATCATAGAATTCAAAAGTAGGTTGTTTGAGTTACATCCCTTCACCTGCACATGGGGGCTGCTGAACCTCTGGTGGAAAGCAGAGTAAATAACGTGGGGTTTTTTAATGAAAAGGCCTAAAGCTGTGGGCCCTCAACCCATAATCCTCACAGCACTATGGTCTGAGAGACACATCATGGGTCTCATCATTTTGGGAGGGACACTGCACCAATATCAGTGCTGCTGGCTGTGATGAGATGCAGGAATAAACACGGTGCGAGAGAAAAGGCAGTGGAGTTCACAGACATCCGACACAAATCCCAGTATGAGATCTGCTCTGAGAGAATCACAAGAGAAGCAAATGCTTGTCAGCAACATTTTTCCTCTAAGTGTTGACCTACATGCTTTTCCCAACTGGAAAGGGCAAACATATTTTAACAATTAACATACCACGCACGGTCGGCCACCAATAATATTAAATCCAAGAGAGCCAGAGTCACGATGGAGGACGAGAGTCAGTGCTTTAGTCTCTTCCCCCTGCAAGGAACAGATAAACACATTCAAAACATTTGTGTGCGTGGGTAAAGTAGGACAGATAATACTTCCACCCAGGTCTGTTGGGTCGGTTTCTTATTTTTTTTACCCCCATGTAGTTCGGAGAAAAATGTTTGGAATAACTTTGCAGGAGCAAAGTCAGCAGCTCCCAGCCCCTGCTCCAGCCACCCCACTGAGCTCCAGCAGCAGAACCACCCCTAAGATTTATGTGTCTTTTTTATTGAGATCTACAGTGAGACACTTAACAGCAACAGAACAGTTTTATATGTAATACTGGTTCCTGCAACTACTTGACCTAGTCATATGTGATGTGTTATGTAAAATACTCCATGTTTCCAGTAGTCAAACTCTTGATTTTCTAATGCTTTTCTAATCTTAGGACTGGATTCTTACGTTGCTTCTCTCTAGTGCTGGGTACATGACATTGTTTTAAACAGTATCAAACACAGTGTTATACAACAGAAATTCTCTAGCGAGTTTGAGAAAACAGTATTAAACAAAACTGCTACAAATTTTGCCAAAGGCCTAGAATGGCAATTGCTACTCAGAGCACCTGCCATGCATAATTTTTTTCTCTGGAATTTTAACACTAGCAAAACAGAGATCTTCCATCATTTAAAATCATGATGTTAATCCCCTAAAATACGAAATTCTGCAGTGAACAGTTGTCTGGACAAAAAATGTACAACGAAGATATACTGGATGGACCTGTAGTAGTTGGGTGACTGTGTGAACATACTCTGTTATCCTGCTCTCTTATTCCAGTTTGTTCCTAACTATGAACTCCTATAAAATGTTCTATATGACACAGTGATGCTACTTAGGTCTGTTAACTTTGATAAAGACAAAAGTAAGTGCATGTACTGTTAAAGACAACTAAGTCTTCACAATGTTCTCTCTTCAGTCTCAGTCAAGTGGCTGTTATTTACAGCACAACACTAGAAAATTATTGAACAGACAACAGCAGAGCACTACAAAAAGCCATTTCAACAACAGTACATTTTTTAGAGATCAGAATAGGATTGGTATGTTGTGCATCTGGAGATACAGATTAACTTTTCTACCTCCAAGACCTTTTCCTTTGTTTTATCCACAGGGTGAAAAAGTTATGAACACAAGAAAGGTTGAGGAAGTTATCTTACAAGTCTGGTTTTCATAACCAATTAATGACAAAAATCACAACAGTTGCATTGTAATTCGATGCAGATGGTTTTAGTTTATGCATTTTTCTTCTAACATGTCAATTTGAAGTTGTCAATCAAACATTAATGTCTATTAAACTCATAAAAAATGTCAAAGTAATCCTGGATTACTGAACTACTCCTACAGATTTGGGGATGATAATGAAGCCCAATTCCCTACCAGTGTGAACTGGCAGAGCTCCACTGACCACACACTTCACCACAGGGGAGCTGCACTAATACACTCCACCTGAAAATGTGGTTTACAACTTCTGCGTCCATTTCTGATCATTATCTTCACTGCAGGTCGAATAATAAATAGAGGTGGACCTGATACAGAGAAACATGAATAAACTCTGATTTTATTTGAATTTGCCTGCACTCAGCATCAGTGAGAACCAGGTAGCCAGAAGAGGACAGAAAAATGAAGTAAAAGCTATTTCCCTGCAAGTCTACAGACCCAGACCTCAGACAGGATTTCAAGGAACAAATTTCCAGTCCTCTGAGACCACTTTCAGGGATGAATGATTCAGGATTTGAAAGACAAGAACGTGTTAGCTCCACTGTTTCCGTCTCCTATTATGCTTTTTTAAGAAGGCAAATCAACTAGAACTATCAAGAAACAATTATGGCATTGCTCTCAAGACACTTTCAGTAATTAAAATTGAACGTTTTCATTAAAGCCTCCTTATGTGGCTATGATTTGACACTTTTATACGTGGCTGAATCAGCACGAAAGCAGTCTACTAAATCAGTCAATTTGCGGGGAAAAAACCCAACTAATAATAGTTTTCTGTACTTCTGAAAAAGTACTTCTGCCCACAGGGGCTTTAAAGAAACTTTCCAGCCATTTCTGGTGGATTTGTGCACTGTCTCCATCTTCCCCACGGCAGCAGAGGTGTCACAGAGCACAACCCACTGCAGAGCACTAATCCCACCACCCTCACGGAACCGCCCCGGCACCAGGGAGGGCAGCAGCACTTTGCTTCAACACTTGGTCACTTTCGCAGATTCACATCTCAGGTCTTAACAATTTCTTTAACGACCTTCTTGGCTTCATAAGGAAGCCACGATGCAAATGACTTTTCCAGGCTCTGCCTTTCCCTTCCCCTCCAATGTCTGGCGTTCCAGCGGAGCAATCATTAAACAGTGAGGTAACTGTGGAAATCGGTGGCCGGTGTCCAGCCCTGCCCCGGCAGCTGCTTCGGCAGCAGACCTGATGGTTACTGGCATGTTGTATTCCCACAGCTGAACAGAACTCTTAAACATAATTCTTGAAATTACTGTACTTCCCAGCTGAGTAATGTGGAGCTAATAGACTGTTTTTCCCCTTTAGATAGGGGAAGACTAATTTCTTTGGTAGTGCTGTGGCTGAGAAGGTCTGTCTTCATCAGAGGAGGCACTTCAGCAAATTGTTCTCTGGTGAAAGGGCTGCCAGGACCAGCCTGGCACATCCTGCTCAGAGACAGTCTGAGGAAAACACATCATCTTGTTTCAAAGGACTTCATCTGGCTCTTGAGGAATTCAAACCTGTGTTACCACAACCACAGCGGTATTAGAGCAGAGGTCCTAAATGTCAGATCGTATCTGGTTCCTGTCTGGCTGATATATTTAAAGTCAGTCCCTGTCTCTGGTTGTCAGGACAGCGGAAGGGTTTCCACCGTGAGCTGCAACCAGCACTGCTTCCGATTCCCCCTCACTCCCTCCTTCCCAAAGGACTTTGTCGGCTGTGTAAACAAGGGAATGACCAGATCAGCTTATCAATAGGTGTGCACAGTGGTATGTTTCACCAAGGATTAGGCCTTGTTTGAATAGTAAGAGGGTTTTTTTGATTGTTTAGACTTTGATATTACAGGATTGACATCTCTGATCAGAAGAAATACTAAATTTGAGTGAGGCACACCACCTTCCCTACCACTCCCTCCTCAAGCTCAGTCACAATAAGCCTTACCTCTTCCAAGGAATTCTTACCAAGGAATAAACAGTCACTCTCTGAATAAACCATCAAACTTTTCTTTTGGAATAAACATTTACATCCAGTAAATACACGGTAAACTTAGTGTTCCCTCAGTGGTAAGGAATATACATGGACAACAGAACTGGGGTCACTTAACGCACATCTGTCTACTTAAGGGGCTTATAAAATGGTGAGATATTTACAGATGAGTGTGTGTATAAAATATGTATTTTATTTGTCTTCTCTTAATACAGTTATGGTGGTGTTATAGAACTCACTTCCGAAATGGTAGATGAAAACACAGCAAAGCTGTGGTTCATCCAGTCACAAAGTCTATGCTAAGGTGAACCCAGAGCTGGTCTGCCAAAACATCACGAATTTGGGTCTTTCACGAATGGCCTAATGCTGTATGACTAAGCATTTAAACAGAACTGTACGTGGGCATTCCTTCTGTTTTGACTACAGGATGTCATCTGATTTATTCTAGATTGGTTCTGCAGGGAAGTCAGAAAACCCTTTTTCTTCATCTACTGAGGAGCTAGAACACCCAACAGTAAGTTCTGCAATCACCACATGTAAACTATGAACCCACATTGTTAGTGCTCAGCCTACTTGTGTTTGACATGGACCAAACGATTACATCGTATAATGAAACACATGAAATATGAGTAATGGTCATAATTAAGTAATGATGGAAAATCAGCTATTCCACATGATCACACACTTAATCCCTGTGTTCAGGGACCTAATGCTTAGGCAAGTATGTCATGCTGAGTGTTCCCGCACAGTCTAGGCCAGTGTCTCTGAGAAAACAACCCCAGAGTATAAATTTGTCAGCATTCCACAGCCCAAAATTTGGTAAAGCATCCCCTGCACTAGGGGATTACCATGGGTCTTTTAAAAAACTCTCTAGTGCACAAAGATGCAAGTTTCATGATTGTACTTCTGTGGGAGCAGGGCAATGGAAAGCTGTTGGTGTTGGCAAGCTGCCCAAAATGCTGTGAAAGACACGTAATTGATTGACCGCTGGACCACGAGTCTGTGGTGACACGACACCTTCCAGCTTTCTTCAGATTCGTGGCTGCTTCAGAAAACTGTATAACAGCCTTTTGTAACAGGGCTGAAAACCAGCACAGTGGTCCCAGCCAGCTGTATCCATAAATCTGATAAAGAGTACAGCTAGAAACTATGTACCATGAGCACCTCTCGGACTCAGTGCAGCTCACTATAATTTACAGAGCTAAATAATGCAAACCCAACATTATCAACACTAGCAAATGAAGGAGAGGCAGTGGAAGAATAAAGGAGAGCAGAGATGAGGAGGTAGGGATTTGGTGAGATGATCTCCCACAGCAGGGCTGTGTGGAGGGGCTCTCCTGTCATCAGCAATGGACAGGGAGCAGAGGCAGCTGTGTGCCAAGCTGCGGGAGTGGAAAGCTCTGCAGCATGCCAAGGCAAAGTACTGTAGGAAAAGGAGGAGACAGAACTGTCCTGAATCTTGATATGAATGTGAACCCCCAATTTATTCTAATAGTTTTACTAAGTTTCTAACCAGCACCACACCCAGTATCGCCAGAAGTCAGAACAGTACATTTAAGATTAAAGCGTTTTCTGTTTTGAGTTTGGAAAACATGATGGGCTCCAAATAGGAAAAAGGAAGGGGGAAAAAAAATAATATGAAGTTTTATTTCCTTTCCACAACTTTTAGAGTCTCAACATTACTAAAGGTGTGAATACAGATGTCTGACAGTTTTGAACAGTTTAATACTGCTGTGTCTGTGGTAGCACATTCCAGGTCACTGGGAGGACTTTGAATGTCTTCATTTAAAAGATAATTGGCTTCTAGGGCTTCCCTCGCTAGGGAGCCTCATTCCAATTAAAACTTGAGTATTGTTGTAGCTCTGGCTTTTGGTTCTGGTCATTTTATAAATGGTCTAATTCTGGGGGGGCTGAAGTCAAGTTAATTTCTCCTCTCCTAAATCGAGGTTTTCAAGAACCCTGTGTGATTCTCAGAAAGAAATCACTGCTGATGTCTTGTATTTGGAGGTGGATGTGACAGAGATAGTGGCTTCAGATCAAGAAATAGCTGGCGACGTGTCCGAGTTGCGAAATAGTTAATCCTAAAGTCAGTGTTTTGTAGGAAGCCCTATTCTGGGATGCTAGGTGAGCTCAGGGTCTGGAAAGCATTGGGTCACAGCAGCTTCTTCCAATTCACTCCACTTTGTGTGACTCCTGGGAGTCAATTTCTGGCGGTTTAATACCATTTCCAGCCCTGGAAATTCCAATTTGGAGTTTAGGGTTTTCTTCGGGGGAAGAGAACCAAGGAAAAAAACACCAGCAAAACCGCGATCCCGTTACTTTTGCTGTGAGAGCTGCCATATGGGGTCCAGATATCAATGACGGTCACGGTCGAAAAATATGTACCTATGGAAACCGGTGCATTACGGCTATTAAAAGCTGAGGTATTCGGAAGGATTTGGCTCTCCAGGACAACACGACCCCCGTCCCGCAGAACCCGCCGGGACACGCGCAGGGCAGAACGCGCATCCCGCGGCCCGGGGGGCATCGGGGAGCGCGGGGCGGGGGTCGGGCCATCCCGCCGTGTCCCCCCCCCCCCGAGCGGGGACACCCCTCCCGCGTCCCCCCTTACCTTGCCGGGGGAGGCGGCGCGGGCGCGGGCCAGGGCGTCCAGGCGGGCGCTGTACTGCGTGAAGCGCTTCTGGTACCGCAGCGCCGTCACCTGCAGCTCCAGCTGCGCCGCCGCCAGTCGCGACAGCAGCGACTGCTCCCGCTTGCCGGCGCGCAGAGCCTCCTTCTTCAGCGCCTTCTCCAGCGCGGCCGCCCGCGCCTGCAGCGCGGCCCCGTGGGCTCGCAGGGCTCGCAGGCAGCCGTGGGCGCCCGCCCGGCGCTCGCCGTGGGTCAGCACCAGCCCGCAGCCCTGCTCGCACAGCCCCGCGGGCCGCGCCTCGCAGCGCTCCCGCATGTGCGCCTCCACATCGCGCAGGTTGAGCACCTGGCGGCAGCCGCGGTTGCGGCACTTGGCCGGGGAGAAGTCGCAGGTCTCGGCGTGCTCGCCCAGGTGCTGCAGCGGCACCACCGCCTCGCAGCCCCGCGCGTGGTTGTCGCACTTGATGTCCAGCTTGAGGATGAGGCTCTTGAGGGGCAGGACGTGGTTGAGCTCCTTGGTGGAGATGCGCTGGCAGTTGACGGGGCAGCTGCCCTGCTGCACCACCCAGGGCAGGACGCAGCCCGCGCAGAAGACGTGCCCGCAGGGGGTGGTCAGCGGGTCCTCCAGCACCTTGTTGCACAGGTTGCACTTGAAGTCGGGATCCACCTCCCCGCTGAAGCGATCCAGCTCGAACCCCATCCTCCTTCCGCTCCGCCGAAAACAACCGAAAACAGAAAAGAAAAAAAAAAAAAAGGAAAAAAAAAGACCAGAAAAAATACCCGGAGCGCGGAGACGGGACGGGACGGGCGGAGAATGGAAATAAATAAGTATCAGTCGCTCCCGCCGCCGCCGCCCGAGAGGGAGCTCAGCCCCCCGCCCGGCCCGCGGCCGTGCCCCGTCCCCGCCGGTCCCGGGAGCGCCCGGGAACGCGCCCCGAGCGCGCTCCCGCCGCCGCCCGAGCACAGGGACCGCCCCGGCCCCGCCCACCGGCCCCGCCCACCCGGGGCGCCCCGGGGTCCCCCCCCGGCCGCGGACGGGGGACAAGGGGGTCTTTGTGTCGGGGAGAGGCGGGCGGGGCGCGGGGTGGGCTCCGGGCTGGTACCCGCTCCCCCCCGGGAGGCGGCAGGTAACCGGGAGCTCCGGGATGGGGAGAAGTGCGGGGGGAGCGGGAGGGACGGGAGGGGCGGAGAGGAAGGGGCCAGTGATGGGGAAGCGATGGGAGAGGAGGGGAGCGAGGAGAGAGGGCGGGGAGGGGGGAGCGGAGGCGGGAGGGTCGCGGCTGGATGTGACAAGGTGAGACGGGGCGGAGAAGGAGCAGCATCGGCCGCCGTGACAGACGGGATGGTTGCTCGGAGAGGGGCGATGGGGCACATCGGCTGGGCGCAGGGACGGCAAGGTCAGGCTGGTCCTACCTGGACTAGTGGAAGATGTCCCTACCCGTGGCAGATGGTTTGGAAAGAGATGGTCTTTAAGGTTCCTTCCAACCCAAGCCATTCTATGTTTCTGTGATGACTTTTGGAAAGGGCATACATGGAGCTGCCTCTGGGGTTGGTCCTGCACAAACTGCTAAGAAGTTGGATTGAGTGTTCAGTCCTCAGGTGGGAATTCTTACACTACTGACAAGAAAAAGGGCAAACAGAACAGTCTGGCAGTGTGTGAGAGACTGAAATCTTAAGGGTTAATGATTTGCAGAAGCAGGAGAGTGCTTTGCTGAGGTTTGCCCCCTCGAACCGAAAAGAGAAGAGGAAAGTTTTTAGGTGTGTGATGGCAAAAACCTCTGGTCTGCATGAGAATAGCCCAGTACAGAGGAAGGGAGCACCCACGACGGGAGGATGACCATGATTGACCAGCCTTTGTTTAGCAACAAGCTGGGTTTTGAGCCAGATGGGGGAGAAGGATGATAAGAAACAGATCCTGCGGAGGTGGGATAATGCTTTTTATCATGGCAATATCCTCCCTTACACAGCTGGCTCAGGTGTAGCCCCCCTCCCCTGGGGGAGATATTGGAACATTCACACATAGGCCTAAAGGTTTTCATCCCTTCTGAGAAGGCATAACTGGCTCAGCTATGCTGACGTTGGAGGCAGCTGTCATGTCCTAGCAGGGGTCACAAACCATCGAAGACCCCCAAAGTGTCCTCAGACTCATTTCTGGGGCCTTCCACCAGAGGACTGCACATGATCCACAGTGTTATATCAGATAGTGTAAAACTGCTCCTCACAGGGGAGATACCTGGGCATCCCCACCTGAACCTGAACCTATATTAACCCATTGAAATTTATGTTTCCTGGGCATCCCCCACCCCTGGCAGATCAACACTGTGACCATCGCTTTGACCAACACACATCCAAATTGCAGCAATCAGGTCTCATTGCTGGATCCGTGGGTGGGGATACCTTTCCACTCCACTATCTACTGTTATCCTTTCTTTCTCTTTCTTTCTTATGTATGTTCTTAAGTGATATCTTTACACATATATAAACACTGGTCATTCAGTGCTGTTTCACTCTATCCTGAGGGATTTATTAACGAGATCCAAGGGATCTGTTAACTAGAACCTCAGTTACCCCACCTTCAGGGGCGGGTCATACCACAGTGCTGCCCGTTTCCTCATGGAAAAGGGGTACGTTTTTTCTATGTTTGTGTAGCCTGTTAAAGCCCCGTTAATGCCACTTGGATGTAAGTGATGGAGATCGTTAAAGGTCACCACTTTTGATACCCATTTCTGCCTGGTGATGATTTAAAAGCACTCCTGAATTATGCTATAAAAAGCCAGCCAGACCACACCTGAAGCACCAGACATAGCATTAGGCAAAAACAATTTCTCTTACAAGGCTGATATTCAAATACTGAAAAAAGCAATAAAAGAGACCAGCTTTGTTCATTGTGGATGGCGACGCAGAATTCTCACATGCACCACAGCCACACACCAGCTCAGTTGTTCTTTTAATGTGTTTTGCTTTATGGCAAAGCAGAAGCCAACCAGAAACTTCAGTTTCAAGTGACCTTTAGTGTATGTCTATTATATCACAGTAAAACGACTTTCTGAATGCCTGGGATGATTATTTGTGTTTTAGTGACCTCTAGAAGGTAACAGATTCGTGGTTACACAACTGTGCTCCAATTTCAGTCTCAGGCAGGTAGTTTTTAGTATTAAGGGTTTTCACTTTTCAAATATGAATTCCATCTGTTGTTCTCGTTTTAATTATTAATGTTCCATAAAGCTTAAGGTAGCTTTTGGCTGTATTCATTGCCCTGCTGAAGAAAGTGTGCATCATATATTTAGGGTGATATACCTAGCTAAGGAATTTTTTACAGATTTGTTCCTTCAAAAAAAAAAGTAAAGGTTGTAATATGGGACTGTGCATGTAGGTTTCTGTAACTCCCTCTGAAGGTCGTGCACACTCCAGGGCCATGGTGATAAAGTTAAATTAATACATGTATATTGCTGACTTTTGCATTATTCTATTTGAACTACAGTAGTGATTCTCATATTTTCTTCTCGCGCTTCACTGCCTTTTGCATCTCTCTTTCACTTCTCTTTCTCCTCAGGACATCTCTGCTCACCAATCTCTCCTGCCATTCTCCTTGCTGCAATGCCACACCTCTCTCCTCCCTCCATCCACTGGGATCACCAGCCCTGCACTGCTGAGTCTCCACCCTTTATCTGCAATGTCACTACACACCTCACTGGTAGGACGCTGTTGTTTTGCAGTTTGTCACAAAAACTGGAATAGCTCTTACTAATCACGACATCTGTTTTTCCAGAGGCATTTTATATGAAATAAAACTTCAGATTCCGTGGGGATGCAGCTGAGTGACTTGAACGTTGGTGTTCACTGTGGTAACTCCTGTATCATCTGATGGTGAAATCCATCAGCACAACTAGTTCTGAACGGGTTGTTTTAAGATAACTGCTCTAAATTAATGACCACTGTCTTATGACCTTCTTTACCCAAGTTTATAAGGTGCCTCATGCGTTCGGGATGGTTGTAAACAGAAAGAAATTAATTCCTTCAGTGATAGCTGTGGCAGTTTGGGTTTAGCATTTCAAAGCTGCCACTCCAGGATGCTCGAGGCCACTCGTGTGGAAGCCAGAGGCAGAGCTTTTATTGATTTCCACGAGAATGACGTCAGCACCAGGTTCCTCCGGCTATTCGAAACTATACAAATATTTGGATGGAAAATATAGGCAAGAACTGGAATAACATTTTTACTCGGAGTCATGGCTAGGCAGATGGTGTGCTGAATTCTGTGATATGCTTTAATGTGACTTTTATGTAGGAATAGATACTTTATTTATAAATTAAAACTTTTGAAGGCCACTGAAGGCTTGCACTGAGACTACAGTTTGAGTGCTGACAGGGAATTGAAGTTCCCCTCTCCCTGCTGCTGCTGTCCATGGGAGAAGGCACACATGGAGCTTTCCCTACTGGAGACACATTTCAGTTCTCCCTTGAAAAAAAAAAATGTTTAAAAAGCAGCCTCTCAACATGAGCCTTTAATGTTATTTTCAAAGCCTGAGGTTTGTAACTGAGGAGAGGTTTGGTTTCCAGGGCTGAAATTATACTGCCACAGCTCAGGAAGGTCGTTTTTATTTAGTCAGTTCTCTCATCATCAGAGGTAGTGCTGGGGTGGGACCACTGCTGAGCCATTAGGGTTCTCTCATTTAACTTTGCTGTCCTGTCATAAGGAGGGTGAGGGCATGTTTGGGATGTAGCACAGGCACAATGCCAGCTCTCAAAGGGCTGCAAAGCTGAGGCTTTTGCTGCAGGTTTCAGTCAGTCTGGTTTTTTTCCTGCTGCTGTGAGGCTTCCAGTCTCACAGAAAATCAAATGCCATTCATCTTAACCTACCTTTTGTCCATAAAGGTTGGCATCATTTTACAGTGGATTATGAGGACTTTGAAAGAAACCTGATTTTTTTTTTTTGCATCAATTTGCCTTTAAAAACGTGGAAATTATTAGGTAATGCAGATAAAGAGTCAAGTTCTTCTCCATGTCAACCATCTGTGTCATTCTGACAACACCCCTAAGGTTAATAGGACACTTCCAATGTAACATGGTCTTCCTTGTGCACTTAGGTCATGAGTTGAAGCCTTTTGGAAACTGCAACTCATAGTGGTCCTGGACATACTTAAAATTTAGTATGTCTAGAATATGTGAGATATATTAAAATGTATCTAAAATGTTAAGATCTTCTCAACCTTCTGTTCATTGCAAAGCACTGACACACTTCACGGAGTTACAAATTTGAAAGATTCTGTATTCTTTGACATTTTATGACCTTTTTTGTACTAACTGTGTCTTCCATGTATTTCTTTATCTATCTGTGTGGCTGCTATCATTAAATTTCAAGTGAACTTGCTTCGATCCTTTATTTTTACTGCTGGCAGAAATGTAAGCTTGCATTAATAGAAGGTGCACAGAAGAGCTGGGGAATGTGGACCACATAAAATGTCAAACTTGCGATGGGAGAACTATCAAGCACAGTAGAGATGGTTCATAATGATAACAGTTTATATGACATTTATTTTAAGTATTTTGCGAAAGGTTAAACTCTGACTTGGCAGCTGATCCGGATTTCAGGATTTTACGTGGGTAGAAGGTCAATACAATATTAAAGTGGATTCTTAGAAGTAAATGGTGTATAAACAGCAGGCCAAGTGGCATCAAAAATCCAAGTCAGATCCCTCTGTT